AAATGAGGACCCGGATTGTTGTTGGGGGCAATATGCTGACTCTGTAAACCGCTTAGAGAGGGCTGAAAGCCCTATGAAGCAGTATTTAAGTCTAACTGCTATTGCTATTGCTATAAATAATGAAGTACTAAATATTTCACCAATAACATTCCAGCATTCCTATAATTAAGAGAGGTAAAAATATTTATAAGAAAAGGAACCTACCCAGGGTAACATCTGCATAGCATATGTGTTTCCTCGAACCACTCTACGATCATACATGAGGTTCCCATAGTTATTTGGCTCTTCTCTGTAATCCATAAAATTAAGAAGGAAATATATCAATGTCTCAAAAATACTGCCAATAAGGGATTTATGAAAGAGGCACAAAAATATAGAAATTTGATTCCATAAATATTATCAGGCTGTGTGATAAAGCTAAATGCTCTTATGAAATAGGGGGCATTTAACAATGTGGGATGTAGATGGACTTTGTATCTATTCAGTTTTAGATTGCCTACTTTGACTGTATCTCTTCCTGATCTCAGATGTCAGCTTTCTCCACATCTGGTTACTAGTACCTGATATTTTCAGAAAAAACAGAGATGGAAGAGTGATTTTGTGAAGCAGCTGCTCTAAACTAAGTTTGGTATCTCCTATGGAAATGAATTATACTTTGGGTTTTAGTGATGGTGGTCTTTCCAAATAAAAAGATTATACTGGCACAACTCAATAGAATTATTAAACTGAGCAACTTTGCACTCTTTGGGCAGTGAGGTTTATGACTGTGGGGGTAAAAACACAAATTGGTCTTGCTAGCAGCGGAAAAGGTACAGACACTTTCTATGTCAGGGTTCCAAGTAATACATCACAATTCAATAAGAACTCTGAGGCAAACAAGTTCCTCAAAGAAGATTCTTTATTAGGACATATCAAATTGGCATATTCCTGGTGGAAAACCTGCTCTAAGTTGGCGCCGGCTTTCCCCCCCAATTAAAAGTAAACTTTATCACTTCCCCCCAGAGTCTCACTTCCATGGTCCAATCAGCATTCATCCCAGTTGCTAGATGATCTCAGTCTCCACCCTGTGGATACCTGGATGACTATCCTTGATTCCCAGGGGAAAGAATTTTATTTAGGCCACAACACCCCAGCTAATCTCTGCAACCCCCCTCCTTGGCCACTTCGCTCCAGGCTGTGTCAGCCCTGAAGCAGTGAGAAAAGAAACCTCCCTAGAAACTACAAAAAAGAAAATGGCCTCAGTTCAGCCAACTTCAAGGTTGACATTCTCTTTCAAGGAGATGCTCACCTGTAATGCACAATAGGATGCATTTGTTAAACGGAACATGAATAATAGCTAGGTCAATAGAACCCATTACCCTTTTTTCAGTTTCCAACCCACTGTCCCAAATGGTAGGATTTTTTCCTCAATAATAGAAAGACACAAAGAAAATTATCCAGTATATAGTGCTGCTGTTATCTGGAATAAGCATTTCAATGAAAGAAAAGGATCTTAATAATTTTATATACAGATGTTTAACAGGATAGATTTAATGCTCATTTGAATGCAGGGCTTGAGTTTGAAAACTCTAATTGGCAAGGTAGAAAAGAATATAGTGGTGAAGGCTTGATCAGCCTGAATCAGATTCATAATTGGGTTAGATGTTGAGTCCAAGACTGTAAAGTTAAGTGTCATTACTCACTGTACATTGTTTATGTAGTGTTCTTGATACCGCTTTCTGTTGGGTACCACTCGGGGATGGCTGCTGTAAGTGTAGGTTTCTGTAGAAGCTCTTGCATCCTCCTGGTTGAGAACCATTGAGGTTGTGCTGGATCTAAGCTACCATGGGTTCCAAGAGAGATTACAAAGACTTAGTGGAATTGTGGAACAATCCACCCTGCCTACTGTTGTTATGCAATGCAAATTCCAACCTTAACAACAGTTGTTAAGGTAAACTGGGAGTAGGGTTGATTCACTGGAGTAGGGTTGATTCACTGGAATTATTTGAATGTTCCCAACATATATGCTCTCCTGCATAAAAAAAGCCAGAAGATGTTCTATTCCAAAAGGATTTCACTTGATTTAGTCAGGTTGAGGTGCTTGTGGAATTCACATCATGTCTTATGTAGCACCAAGGAATTATGATTTGCATCTAAACTAAGCTTCTAGGAATAGAAAATCACCTTTCATTTAGGGATAGCAGAGAATTGGACATTGATTGAATCCTGATAATGGAAGGGGAGCCAATTGAGAAAGTGTCCAAACTTGCTAGATTTTTTCTAGGTAGGAGAACAATCTCAGATAATATTCCCAGCACCTCATAAAATGATGTGGTTATTATAGCACAGTGATGGCTAACCATTATGTTGCTGTGTGCTGAAAATGCGCAAATGTGCATGCAGATCCATAAAGCAAGGCTTGCATGACTCCCCCATATGCTCCTCCCCCTGCGCACATGTGCACAACCCCTGCATGTGCCCCACTCCCATGCATGCATGACTCCACTCTGCTCCCCCACTAACCCTGCATGCATGCATGACCCCCCCAAATGCACCCTGCCCCTCCATACATAAGCGTGCGACCCTGCACATATGCGGATATACCTGTGCACTCCCCTGTTCTCCCCCATCCCCCCATGCATGCATGGGTGCCCTTGTGCTCCCCCTGCCCCATGCTCACACATGAGTCTCCCGCATGGGCCCCACTCCCTGCGTATGTGCGACAGAGACCCGAAACCAGCTGGAGGTACATGCACTTGCGTGGTGAAGCTCACGTGCTCACAGAGAGGGCTCTGCGAGTCACCTGTGGCCCACATGCCATAGGTTCACCATCACAGTTATAGCAGTAGTATGATTCTTGTCATCTCCACCTTCCTTTTGTCTTTCAAAATCTTCAGATATTCTACTTAGATTTCTGATTTTTTTTACCATAAAGTGCTGGAATGTTTCGTAAGACACTCATTTTAAAGATCTGCTGCTTTTAATCTTTTTAGTTTTTAATGCTGTTTAGAGCTGTTTTTTAATGAACAAGCCTGCTTTGATCATACCAACTAAGTAGAATGGACAAGGAAAAAAAATGAGATTATGCTATTGGTTGCCTATAGATGATTGTTGGTGTCATAGTCATGTGCCTTGAACTACTACCTCTAGATTGCAAGATACTGAGAAGCAAACCACAGCGATTGCAGCTATTGCATTAAAACTGTCACTACATTTGCAAAACAGACGCAGAAAAATAAGGACTGAGTGATTAACAAGAAAATCAGATTAATGTGCAAAGCTTATCAATGATAAACGTGAAATGAAAGCTCACATTTTAACTGGGAAGAAAAGTGATGTCATTTTTATTAAGATGCAATTTCTTTTAAACTAGAGATGGGGAATCTATGAGCCAAAATGGAGATAGCCCTTGGGAGAACACAAGTGAGAGTGGAAGAGATTGAACAATAATGATAGAAATGGAGAGTAAAGAAGAGAAATGCCCCTTTGCAATTAATCAGTTCAAATCCTTTTTTTTTGGGGGGGGGGGAAGGACCAGAAAGATAAAATGGGCAATTAAATAAAAGAAGGATGAGTTGGAGAAGAAGACCGCCACAAGTAAATTATTCAAAACTACTGGTCAGGAAAGAAAATGCTGATGAGGGAGAAGAAGTAGAAATAGAGAAAATGGGGTTTAAGGATTATGAAAAAAAAGAGAGAACAGGGTTAGAAGAAAGGAAAGGAAACAGAAGGAGTGGGAGAAAGGAAAAGTGATATCTTTATTTATCTTTGGCTATAGTCTTGGTCACCAATGCTGTGCTGTCTCTTGACAATAGATCCCTCAAAGCATTCAACTCTCAACCACAAGAATAATAAAAGTATTTACCACAGCTTCTATCCAGCCTTCTCTTTATGTGTACCTGCAAAGGCATCAGGGATGGGTTCTGACAGCCCCTACCGCTGGTTTTCTTGCTGTGCACGTGCGCAGTGCAAATAAAATTGTTCTGTGCATGCACAGAACTGAAAAACAACATGGGGGAATTGGTTTGGGGGCATGGCAGGCCTGGGTCACTGCCGGTTCCAGTGACCCAGGCTGCCAAACCACTAACCGGTAAGAACGTACCACTGAAAGGCATCCTAGAATGGGTAGGACTTCAAATTCTCTCTGTATTTTTGATGGGGGAGGGGAAGTAATAGGGCAAAAGAGGGAGAAATTTAAGGGAACTTCCATCCATTTCAGCTTCCACTTCTCTAAAATGGTATTCCATCCCTGCCTATTTTTGATCCTGTGGTACCACAGTGTGATGGATCCTTCAGTCCATTGAAATTTGTGTCCTTGCAAACGATGAAAGAGCCCTGCATGCTGTGGTGGGGAGTGGCTATGGTGCTGCATCTTGAAGACTTCAGGCAGGATTTTCTGCCATCCGTGTCTTCAGCAATACAACCGGTGACTAGAGAGCGCTAAGGGGACACCAAAGGTTAAGAGATAGTGCTGGGCTTAGCCCCAATATGTCACGTGACACCGCTGTGATGATGTGAGTTTGATTGGTGCCCCTGATGTACTTCCTCCTTTTTTCAGTTGGTGTTATTCTGATCAGAAAATGGTGCAACTAATAGCATATTGTTGTAGAGGACAACTTTAATTTATTCACAGAAACAAAAAAAATCAGAATTGATTGTACCCAACCTGATAGGAATTGTGAGTCATATCATTGCAACTTTAACTGTTTACCTTAAGCCTCAAAAAAACATGGGGAAAGTCTCTGTGAATAGATGGAAGCACTGAGTCATTTTCCTAGAATATAATGGTTGTCATACAGTCACAACAAAATAAGCAAATTAAATATCCTCTGATGAACCTAGCAAAGATCAAAGATGGGAATAGAAATGGCCTGGTAAATAGAAACCGTCTTGTTCTCTGACACTTTAGGAACATAGATTAAGAACATCTAGATTTTAATCTTAATAGGATTAACTCAAATCCTTGTTGAGAGATAAGTACTGATTGTGAATTCAGAAAACCCCCACCAGCAATAGAAAACAATCTGACTTTGATTTTTAGTTTCCATGTTAATGATTTCCTTTGTACGGAACATAAACAGATGTGACTTCCAATACCAATTCTTCTACATGTTTTTAAATGAAACTCTGTGTGTATTTAAATGAAACGGTGTATATTTTCCGTAACCTTGTTAATAAATACATGTAATATTTTAGTCCTGTATGTGGGAAAAGAATCAAATGTACTGTATTAACTAACCATATCAGATCCACCTGATTATCAGCTAAGTTCATACAAAGCACTCGTCCCCAAATAACCTATTCTCGGATTTGATTAGTTTAGCATTCAGTTCAAATTCAACCTAAGAGTAGAGTCAAGCCAGATTCCATGGATGCAGATTCTAGGTGCTAATGCTTCTCATCAGTTTGGGGCCAATTACACCTTTCTGACTTTCTGATGTCTTCAAGAACTCCAGTAAAGTCCAATAAAGTCCATGCACATAGCTGATCTTTGGAGAGCTATGTTTCCTCCAGAACTATTCACTTTTGTTTGTTCACCAAGGACGATCGAACATAAAGGGCCTTGTGAGGTTTCCACCACTGGCCCTGTGGAAATGTTGATCCTGGGAATGTGGGAAGATGTGCAAGAGTTTTATGCAAGCTGTATCTAGACTTGCCAGTTGGCTCATATCATTCAACTGAAAACATGAAGAACAAGAAGAACAATACCTCTTTTTCCTTTTGAAAATATTAACTTTTGTGTTCTTAAGCATGCATGTAAAATGATCTAGTGGTCACAGAGTCTGTGATCAAGCAGCCACCTCAGCTAAAATCCTCATGGTTCATCATAAGCAGGACTGGAGTTGCTGGCTGGGGTAGGGGGGATGGAACAGAATCCATCGCATTAATGTCAGGGCTAAATAATTTATATGGCTGTTTGTGGGACAGATCAGGAAAGTAAGGAGCTTAGGAGGTCACAGACCCATTACTGTCACCCAACCTTCTTCAGGCAGGTCCGTAATAGGCCCTGTTTTGTTCCCAATATTTCTGCCATTATTGGGGAAAACCACTGGGAACATGCATATGATGTTCTGTTACATACACCTTTGCGGTGGAACAGGTCTTCTGCTTCATCTGGCTCATCATTTGCTATTCTAGCAAGTAGAATTGTTTTCTAGGAGTCAATGCAGACATTTATTGGGAAAAGACCAACTTTAGATTTTTCAAAATAACCAGAGTGCTGGAAATACTATATGCAGGATGTTAGATCACAGAGATACCTCAATTTATCTCTATTTTGCTTTTCAGAGAAACATCCCTGAATATACAGGCTGGTCATGTAACAATGTGGTTCCGAGCGAAATTTTAGGGGACTGTTTAAAAGAAGCTACCTGACTATTCCTGGGATATTAATTGCCTTGGCCTTCTTCTATATACTACTGCAACGTGCTCTACATGGGGCAGCCCCTGAAGAGCATTCGGAGACTTCAGCTTGTCCAGAATGCAGCTGCGCGAGCAATCATGGGTGCACCTCGGTACACCCACGTTACACCTATCCTCCGTGAGCTGCACTGGCTGCCTATTGGTCTTCGGATATGCT